TGGGGATTCGAACCCGCCACCTTAGGTGTACGTGGCTGGCGCCTTAGCCGGTTGAGCTATAGGCGCCGAGCCAGGCATGCACATTTTAAAGGCTTTTGACTTGTATGATCCAATTGCTTTCAGAAAGATCCTGTCATTTTATGAGACTCACAGCAGCAGGGGCAAGAACCAAGGAGCGCTGTCTCCTTTAAAACGAATGGTGGGTTTCACCGGCTCAGTGTGTCCTTGCCCTTGTTTTTTTGTTTTCTTGGCAAAGCTCCTGGAGGTTGAGCTCCCTGGAGATTGCCTCTGGAGCAGTGTGCTCCTTCTCTGTCCCATAGTCTGCCTGGGCCTGTGAGTGGGAGGGTGTCGTGGTGGGTGATGGACAGAGGTTGTGGATTTGACCTCCCTCTCTGCTAGGATGGGCTGGGGCAGAGTCCATGTAAGGGAGGTGGAGAGTGACCCATGGATGTCACATGGAGTCTCAAGGGAGCAGGTGCAGGGAGGGCAGGGGGCACTGGCAGGGACATGCCTTGAAGCTTCATAGAGCTGTGAGCTGTGGGTGTGAACCCCAGCTCTGCCCCTCCCAGTCCTGTGATCATGCCCAAAGCTACTTGGGCCTAAACCTCTGTGGCCTTTGGAGTGAAATGGGCCTAGGACCATACCCACCTTGGCTTGCCAAGGGGCACACAGCTGAGCCCTTAGCATACCGGATTCTTTCACAAAAGGCAGTTTACAAAAAAAGTATTAAGAGAATCTAGGAAAATCGGGATTGGCTCAGGCATACCTTGGAATGGACCCATGTCTAGGCAAGAAAGGGGGGTGTTCTCCTCCCTCCCTTGAGCTCTCCTGCTCCCTCCAGGGCAGCCAGCCCTCCTTCTAGCATTAGCTGGAGCTGAGTGTTCCAGATCCTTCTCCAAATAGTAAGCACCAACCAGATCACCCTCCTCCTCATGGGGTGTGCATTCAGCTCCTACCTGGCTTGGTGTCAGTTGCTGCCGGGGAGCAGAGAAGATGGGGGTGGGAACACTCTGTGCCTGTGGGTACAGGAAGGCGTGTGCATGTGAGTAAATGCACATGTGAATGTGAGGTTGGGTGGTGTATGAGCATGTGTGTGTCTACATGAATGTGCAAAAATGTGTGAGTAACTGAGGATAGTAGTGAGCATGTGAATGTGTGTGAACACGAGTGTACATGAGCATGACAATATCTGTGAGCATGAGTGTGAAGATGTGTGTAAACGTGAGTGCGTGTGTAAGTGTGATGTGTTGTGTGAGGATGTGGGTGTTTGCATGTGCAAGCGTGAATGTGTATGTGTGTGTGAACAATGTGAGTGTGAGCATGTGTGATAGTGTGTGTATACTGAGTGTGTGTGCACATATGCTCCGGGGTAACACAGAGCAAACGCTTCATTCTTCCAGTTTCCTCCTCTTCTGCAGAGGACCAGGCTCCACTGGGAACTTCCTATAACCGAGGATTCAGACGCCGCCAGGTGGGGCTGCTCTAGCAGCTGCAGAGGTGAGCCCTGGGCAGGTAGCACAGGTGGCAGCTGGCTGTGGAGTGATGGGTGGGGCGCAGGTGAGCTGGGGCTGCCAGGGGAGTAGGGACAGAACCGGGGCCAGGTGGGAATGAATCTCTAGGGTCTCATTGTGCCAGTGAATAGAGAAAGGAGGGCTGTGGGTGGGAGCCAGCAGGACTGAAGCTGGGGTGACACTGGCAAGGGGGGTTCTTGCCCTCCGAGCAGGAAAGAATTCAAGAATCTTCAGACAGGAGAGGTGAGTGGAAGCAGAGAGTTTTATGGAAAGCAGAGCACAGTCTTCAGGAAAGGCAAAGGAACAGACTGATCCAAGGGGGAACAGAGCCACCCCAGAGTTAGGTCCCTCCTTTTATACTAATCCCTAATAATATGCTAAACTGGGGGTGGAATATTCATTAATTTTCTGGGAAAAGGGTGGGAGTTCCTAGAACCAGGAACCCTCCCCTTACTGACCTTACAAGGTAAC